TCTCAAGAAGTGCGGCTGACATGAGTGTGCGAGGTTTAGTGCATGGCGTAAGTGTAAAACGCCGGTTGAAACGACGCACTTGTTCAGAATGCAGTAAATCATGTGTTCCCAAAGGGCGGATAGTGGGGCTTGTTGGTTACACGTACTTGAAGCAAAAGCACAAACAGTGAGAAATAATACAGAATAACAAGAACAATACGTACCACGTGGTGTGTCTACTTCTGTATTTCTTGTGCTTTTGTGTGTGTGTGTGCTGTTCCTTGAAACACATACGATCCTGGTTTCTACTGCTTGAAAAAGCAAACAATAGATTGATTTTACCAGCTTTTGCTTTGCGCAGCAATTGCGATGTGCACTTTTTAGGGGCGAAGCTCATTAAGCCCTGGGTCTGTTCATAGGTTGTGCCTCGTTTTGGTACGTGACCACCTTGTTCTATGACTCACTCAACAGGTGCGAATGGATGGATAGACAGACAGACAGACAGACAGACAGACAGACAGACAGACAGACAGACAGACAGACAGACAGACAGACAGACAGACAGACAGACAGACAGACAGACAGACAGACAGACAGGCAGGCAGGCAGGCAGGCAGGCAGGCAGGCAGGCAGACAGATGGACTAATGGATGGACGGACGGACAGACAGACAAACGAACGGACGGAAGGATGGACGTATGGATGCACGGGCGGCATGATGGATGATTCATGGTTAACCGATAAAAACCTCCGAAGCTTCGCTCCAGTCATCATCATTTACTTTGTGGATATACCGCGATTGTTGAATCATGCAGCCGTTTAAGCTGGCTTACCGTTTTCGTGCCCGAAACACGTGTTAAGGACGCAAAATGAGAAGACTTAAAAATATTGGCGTGCGTAGAACTAAATGGTGATGCACAGTAGCAGCAAGAATGTAAAAACGCCAGCTATTTCAATTTTCCTCAAAGCTGTTACTAAACAATAGATTTGTATGTCAGAAAAAGGCGCGCTGACCCATTTTTCGCTTTTAATTTGGTAGGTGCAGAAGGGGTTTTCAAGCTCCATGCAGGCAGCTCACAACACAGAATGGTTTTTCTGATATGCTCCCCAATAACGTACGGTATCCTGCACAAGCAGCGTAGCCTTCAAGAAGGAAGCGTTCTGAAACTTTCTAGACCGAAGAAAAGCAGAACAACAAGTACAGCGGCCCATCGGTGCAATGAGACTCACGAGAAACACAGTGTCGCAAACTCTGCGCAAGGGCTAAGTCGCCTCACCTGGACTTGGCAGCTGTTCGTTCTCGTTTCCTTTCTCTCTGTAGATATCGAGCTCGCTGCTCTTGATGGCGCACATACGAGAACAATAAGAACAACACTCAGCTTGCATGATTTCGCCAGGCTCCTGATATGGTCGACGGCGTTTTAAACTCGCAATGTAAGCCCCGGATAAAATTAGCCATGACCTATACAGTTTGCATAAACAATGTGTGCGAGAAATGCTGATACCATGGTAGTGACAATCACCTTGCGCAATTCGGCATATATTTTGCAAAGCAATTGCATGGTTCTTGCTGGCGAAATTATATAAACAAGTTTTGAACCACGTATTTTTTTTCTGTTCCTTCCAAGTGAGACTGCAGCCCACTGCAGTTACGCGATAAACGGCACGGCCTGGGCCAACATAAAAGTTATCATACAGCGCTTTCTTTTGTGTAGGCTTCTTTTCGAAAGCTCGAAAAAAAATTAGAGGCTCTGTCCTTTATTATATATTTGCCAATAAAATTTATTTCGCCTCTGATTCAGTTAATCTATCAAGTGTAGTAAGTACAATAGCTTGGCTTTACGGTGTGGCATTATCGTGAAGTGTTCTTTAGGTGGGACGGTAAAGTTTTGAAACAGGACGACACGCACATACTCCAAAGTCAAAAAGTGCAGTAAGCTTTCACGCATTTACCTGGTTCCCGGCCCTCAAGGGCTCAAGGGCTCATCGAACTGTTCCGAATGGCAGTGAACTTGCCCATAACCGTTCGCGAGAAATCACGAGTCTCGGCTTCACGAGCTTCAGCAATCCATTAGAAATTTTACAGCAAAAGCTGTTATGAGATAGAAATTCGGATCATGCGTGGCCCCGTAGTTGTCTGCCACTGTCACCGGTGTCCGCAACCACATCGCACGAAATGAGAAAAACATTCAGTACCAATGACACAATGCACCTAGAGCACGGGCCCAGTGCGTGCCGGTCCTGTATTCTACCACTGAGTCATGCTGGTACTTGCTGCTTGTTGGCAAACTTGTCATAGGCAGGCTTGATAATCGGCAAAAGGAATCGCATTATTACGACTTATAAAGCGTTTTAGAGCATCGAAAGAACAACCAGTCATCGCACAATGCAATAAAGTAACGAGTGGACCGTGCAATGCTCCAATTCATTACAAAAGCTTGTTTTTGATCACCTATTAACAGTGGCGCATACCCACTTGAGGCATAATTTCTCATCGTCGTCGGCCACTGCATCAACAATTGGCACGAAATTTCTGCAAGTGTTCAGTGAATACCGTGCTTCTCAGAAGAATGACGAAGGATAGCATATAGCGAATGCCGACCTACTACCCAGGAAATATTATTATTAATGCCGTAGTGGGTATAAAGCAAGTGCGCTTGCAGCAGTTGCCGAATGAGTGTTTAGAAAAAGCTTTGAAAGGCCACTCTTCTAGCTTTCGCTGTGACTGTGCTGCGCTTTCCGCGCAGGCCTGGCGTTTTTTTTTTGTTTTTTTAATGAAGTTATTTGTTGCTACCAACTGTCAAGGTGGAGGTGTCCCCTCCCGAATTTTCAGCTCACTAGACCACAGGCCTTTCCTTTGCGGATGCTGCAGGCAGGTTAATTTCCTTCTCGTAGCACGCTTAGTCACTTTGCTGAAGGCATAACCCCCAAGATTCCAAACTGTGGGGTAGATATTGCATTCTCGCTCACATGTGCTGGCAGTGCCCCGGTTTACGTAGCGCAAAGTACAGCACAGAACAGGACTGGGATAGGGCTCTTAAAAGCTCCGAGCTCTCAGTCCAGCTATTGACAGTCCAAGAAGCCTGCGAACGGACGGAGGGCCATGATCTACCGTTACCGCCGTGGGCGCGGCCAGCAACTTCCCATCGGGGAGTGTCTGATCTGGTTCTTCAGGACGAAATGAAGCTTATTTCATCTTCACCTCAAAACTGAGCGTATCAAAACATTTTGGGTCATAACTGGGCATATTAGGGCGGTCATGTACGCGGGGGATGAATAAGAAATATGGATAATGTACCTTCTCGCTGCTGCTAGAAACATCCTCATAATTTGCCAGATGTTAGGCAACTCGCGCTTAACTAGGCTTTGTACTCACGCTCTTTCCCCGGCATAACATACGATATTGAATGACATCCAAACATTACAAACTCGCTCGAAGACTCAGCAACTCGCTTAGCCATTCATCTAAGACGAGAATAAGGCGCGCAGGCCTCCATCTTCTTCTTCCTCCTCTTCGTACTCTCAGGCACATATTTAATGCTTTCCACTCCATTTACGCTTCCATCTCCCGCTCATTCCAACCCTACGAATGCTGCTTACGCCTGAAACATGGTGGATACATCAGCAACAATCTCTGCATTGATTAACGCGTAGTTAAACACTGTTACTGATAATCTCATTAGTTACTAAAATCAGAATGCTATCTGGCTAAACACAAATGTGGCGCTAGCATGGCCATCAATGTACTATAGCTACATACCAAGATGTTTGTTTTCCAACAATGTTTTTCAAAGGAGACTACCCGATGTATACCTGCACTACGCCTACATTTTCGCACGTCAAGTTACACATCAAGAAAGAAATCTGGGAGTGCCCTGATACACTCTTGCTCATGTAAGCACCTTAACGTGAAGTATAATTGAAGAAACCTTCAGGTTGGGGGAGAGTGGGGTAGCCTTACGCTACATTATGATATTTCAGGCTTCGAGCCTATTTGACGGGTCGGATACACGTTGCTTTAATTCAGAAAGTGAGAGTTACAGAGAAGCACAAAAGCTGCCATCATGTACTGCGCCGAAGGACCATTCCAATGGAATGTAAGAAGTTTGAGTAGTTTGGTCGGCGTTTTCTTTCTTTCTAGTTGTATCACTCGCTCTTTCTGCTACGAACACGTGCGAAGCCAGTCCACTTTATAGTATATGGTGGCGCAGAGGGCGAAAACTGCCTTTCCACTAGTCTGGCGAGCAGTACAGGCCCCCGCTTAATGGTCTAATCTCTCATTTCTAAATGGCAGAAAACAGCTCGGCACGTCGAGAACATATCTTACGAACTCGGTAGGAGAGCAGTCTAATCCTGGAAAGTGAGTATCGCCACAAGCAAGAAAGTAGTTGCGAAACTTTTGGAGCCACCCTGCATCGGTCTGTAAGCTCAGCTATGTATATAACTTACTTCACGTGGCAGCTGCAAGTTTAGGCTATGGTGTAGAGAAAAAGCAAAGTCAAAATAAATAAATGGCCACGTCCTGCGTCCTATAGCGCCCCACTGTTGTAGGTAATTCATACAGATGCTCTCTGTCGTTTCATACATAAGAGAATAAGAGCATACTGTGTATGAGCAATGGTTCTTTTATGTTGTCTACTAAACCGTGGGTCGGCTGTTTTACTGTCTCAACTAAAGTGAACGACATATAAAAAAACTCCTTGTGTATCTTTTCTTCGTCTGAGCAGAGATGTCTGAGATGATTTCATATACGACAGTAGGCTTAAGGGAAACCGGTATCACATTCTACAGTGCTTTGACTCATGGCAATGCTAGCGTAGCACTGCTCGAAAGTTCTTCACTGTTTATGTTTCGAAAATCTGCATTTAAAGAACTTTTATTATTTTCTCTTCGTTCATAAAAAGGAGATATCTAAGATTCTCAGATGATGGAGTAAAAGGTCGTGAACTTTTGGAAGCCGTTGTGAAACAGTGACGGCACGTGGCTCACAAGCACGATATAATATAAAAATAAAGCACGTACCTTACATTTGCGGGAGCGTTCTTGGAACTTGGTTTGATGAGTCGGCATTAGAGCCAGGACCACTGAGATCTCCTGCAATGATAAGTTACATTGCGTGTTCAATACGCGGCATTGCAGTAGCGTTGCGGCAAAGACTTTGACGCCAGGGCTTTCACAATAGACAGCTCGGTTTATAGGCTCCTTCAGAAAAAATTTGGCAGATCCCATGTAGCTTGGGAATCACCCTTACGCGAAGCATGCGAAGGGAAGGTTATTGTGTTGTAAAGTTTCTTTTATTAAGCGACCCGTTATGAAATAACGCTAAAGAAATGTAAAAATGTTGTACGCACAGATATACGTTGAACAGTCGCATTCGTTTATATAACCAGTTGCTTGCAGTTGCGAAAAGATTTCAACAGGAACATGAGTATCAGCAACAAAGTAAGCAGTGAGCTGATATGTAACGGTCTTGCATGCGATGATGGTAGGCCCGGACACTGCTACAAAAAGCAACTTCAGTGAATGTCACTCAACTACAATTGCAGTTAGCCCAATGAAATGGCTGTATCATATATGAGTAAATATATAATGTTTATAAAATTGGATAGCCAGTATTGCAACCACAATTCACATTTAACCATCATCACACTTGAATAGTACCTTTTCCAAATCAGTGTCGAGACATGGCACAGCTCTGTAGTAGAATACATGGTTGCCACGCTGAATGCTTAGATTTTATCCTTGCTGGTGCCCTAATATTTTTGATGCGAAGCAGCTCTTTGACTAACACATGTAACGCCGCACGTACGTGCGTCCGTACGAACGCGTCGCAACGCGTTTCTTTCGCCGCAGGTGTTGAAGTGGTGTCAAATAGATCATGCCGCTGCTGCGCGTTGACGTCACGCTCCCCTCGCACGCCTTCCTCGCAGGTGCGTGCTGACGTCACTCTCTTTCACCCACTTCACGCTCACAGCAGCGGCCGCAACTGCCAGCTCCTCCGCCCACTCGCTTCACCCTCTACACCTCCCACAACGCTCGACGGCGCGTCGAGGGAAAACACTCTTTCTGCTTGTTTATCTGAGCTGCAACTTAAAATAAACCAAACCCGCCTCCGGTGTCTTTGCGTTCCAAGAATACGTTCACCAAGTATAACATCAAAGTTTTCTTCCAACACCTATGTCGACGCCCGTTTCAACCGAGTGAACGCCGTGCGCACCACTTCTGCTTCGCAACCCATCAGGGTTCCTTTCAGGAAGATGGTCCATAATTTATTCTTCGCATGTGTCCGGTGAACCCTGCCGGTGCCCGCGTTTTACTCAACGCTCTCGCGTTAAAGTAACCTTAGTATGTTCTAGCCGTTCCTGAAAAGACATGAATCGTCAGTCACCCGTGACAAATACCTGCATACCTGTGAGACATATCCGCCGGCGGGTATGTGCCACAGGTCTGGCGGAGAGGATTTGACGACGTGCGCGACAGAATGGTCAAATTCCTAATGTCATGACCAGCACTTCGTATTCATCGAACGATGTATACCTTCCCATATTAATTTTGGTTCACCCCAAGTTATGGGGTGATTACAAGAGCATCCAGATGTTGGCGGCTAGATAGATAGATAGATAGATAGATAGATAGATAGATAGATAGATAGATAGATAGATAGATAGATAGATAGATAGATAGATAGATAGATAGATAGATAGATAGATAGATAGACAGACAGACAGACAGACAGACAGACAGACAGACAGACAGACAGACAGACAGACAGACAGACAGACAGACAGACAGATAGATAGATAGATAGATAGATAGATAGATAGATAGATAGATAGATAGATAGATAGATAGATAGATAGATAGATAGATAGATAGATAGATAGATAGATAGATAGATAGATAGATAGATAGATAGATAGATAGATAGATAGATAGATAGATAGATAGATAGATAGATAGATAGATAGATAGATAGATAGATAGATAGATAGATAGATAGATAGATAGATAGATAGATAGATAGATAGATAGATAGATAGATAGATAGATTCTAAAAGTGCTTGCAGTGTGCAAAGAAATGATTCGCACCTAAAATAGTGAGCTGAAGTCATGTGTGAGCTTACACTCTCCTCAAAATAACGAAGGTCACCGAAGGGTTACCTTCGTGCAGGATTCTACCCCTTAATTCACCTCACTCTCTTCGTTCATGTGAGTGTGCCGCTGTGAAACATTGGCTACGATGATCGGCTGTTAGCCCAAAGGTCACAGGTTGGATACCGGCCGCTATGGTCACATTGAGATGAAGGCGAAACGCTAGACGCCCATGTACAGCGCGTTGTATCATGATGACATATGGTGTTTATTGGTGCAAGGACCATGTGATGACCAAAGAGCGCCATCAACTGTGATGACAGAAAATGAGTGCTACGCTATTGAAGGGATATGAAGAAGATACGAACAATGATATTGTTGCGTGGCTGTAAAGAGGCCTAAAATTCCGCACCCGGCGGCGGTTTAAAACTCAAAAATAGTAAAATCATGGCGGTGACGTGAAACGCGTGGCGCTGGAATAAATGACACTGTTGGTGGTGAGGGGCGCTGCAGCCGCGACCTCTGCACAGGGGTCGAGCTACGGATGAACGCATTGTCTGTATACGTAACAAAAGGCACGACGTGGTTAAATTTCAGGAGACCTCTAGTATGGCATGCCTAATAATCATATCATGGTTTCGGTGTGTCCAACCGTACATATTATTATTATTATTATTATTATTATTATTATTATTATTATTATTATTATTATTATTATTATTATTATTATTATTATTATTATTATTATTATTATTATTATACAAGTGTAAAATCTCATGACACCGCTATTTGGTACAGGCTCCAACAATCAGCTGTGGACGCGCTGCTACGTTTGTTGTTCCATGAAAGGTACTAAAAACACCCTAACACAGCGTATCGACTTTTTTTTTTCTTCTTTTTTTCTTTTTGTCGGGAGGAGCTGAACGATATTTTCTTGTCGCTGTCAACAAAACTTATGGAAATAACCTGCCAATCTGCTTCCAGTTGTTCGTTGTAGCAATATACAAACAGGCCAGGTGAAAACGAATACTGAACATTCGTTGCATATTTTTGGTATTCCTGTTCCCGTTCCTTCCTGCGAAAACAAATGTCTACAAATGTAAAGAGATGATGTCAGAAACTTCACACTCCTGAAAAGCTGCACCACTTGCGCGAATGGTCCATAGAAAGTACGAGTAAAGCACCTCTGCGAAACTTCTCCCACCTAACTCCATCAGTACGCATCAATCACCAATATTAAGCTCGCCACTGAGTTTCGTCTAACAGAACCTGTGAAATGCTGATATTACCGAGCTTATATATATTCGCTACTAGAGCGGGTAAAACGTGTGCCGATTGCAACGGAGCATAAACTCATCTACCTTCCCAGTTCTGGAGGCGATTCTCGGATTTTATTTGGCTCTTCAACGTAGCCTAATTTAGCCTGTCGTGGCTTCACTTTCCTGTATAATATACAGGAGTCTTTGCAAAGCAAGAGTACGAGGCCTTAAATTAAGTGCCATAAAGTTTTTGCACAGCAAATGAGATACTTGTTTATAAAAGAAAAAGAAAAAAAAACTGTTGTACATAACAAAAAATTTAGAAGTTGAAAATGGAAAACTGGGAACGAAGCTTATCGCGCAAGCGTGCATGTACGCGAAGCATCGTGACATGAAGGCACGAACTTCTCGAGATCTATAACTCAGGCTTCTATATAGAGCGACAATCATTCTATTTTGCGAAGATTAATGATTCCTAGCTTTCTCTCTTTGAAGCACCCCACCGCAGCCGCATCTCGTCGGTCGCTTCATCTCCATAAGGACGATATCGTGTCGGCTGCGGCACCCGCTCTAAAAAAACCGGGCAATGTTGGCGTATGTCGAGGTCGCCACTTTCTATGTTTCTCCCTGCTTTATCGACTGAACTGTCTTTTGCAAGATTTTTCAGCTGCTCTATTGTTTGTTTTTTTCGCCCCTTTCTGGAGTGGCTCTTCTCCACGTAAGTATCCAGGGAAGGAACTGAGTAAGCCAGAAACCGTATTCGCTTTTGCTGCAAGGGCAGATGATATGCCTCGCCTCAAGTGTGTCTCCTAATGAATTAGCAAAAATACGTACAAAGAAGCAAATTTTCGGCGTACAGTGAAGACCCCTTAGAAAGAAGGGTGGTGGAATGAAAAAGGAACTTTCTTCTATCTCAGTGAAACTTGGTTTTGCTTGGACTTTTCGAAAGTAATTGCTTTTTTTTTTCGTTAGGAAGCTATTGCTGATGCAGGATTTGCTTTAAAGTTTTTCGGGCTTTTCAGAGAATGCAAATGCATGTTTATAGCTACCGTAGCAGTTGCACATATAATTGTCTGGAAAACACGTATTCTGTCAGCACACACTTTATTAGCTTTTATACATGTAGGGTATAGTTTTACATGTCTTCTTGTAAGTATCTGGCCTTCCCAAAGGTACAGTGTGGTGTGCTTCTCGATGGAAGACCACCCAGTTCATTGGTTTTCTTGCGGCCATGGTAGAAAATAGAAGCGCTGTTGGATTCGTCGTTTGTTACTGAAAAACAATGAATTATGACGAAAGAACGCATTGAATTCCAAGAAAAAATCACGCATTTCAAAAAGATAATCATGACGACTGGGTGAAGCTCATGGTATCGTATCGGTGAGTCACCGTACGTTACACAAGCGTTACTCCATATAATGTACCTAGGGTGACATACAGTGTTTACAGAGATGTAAATTAATTTCGGAAGAATGATTTAGCAAATTCCTGGAGTGGAGAATATGCCTCGAAAGTGAATCCAAGAACCTGCCGTCTTACTGGTAGCAAGGCACCATTGTTATATGTGGGATTTATTGTGAGAGATACTGCTCGGCGTGTGTCTTTGTGTTACAGACTTCCTTGAGAAGCCTCAGTATCTAGGTACACTTTAGCGAGATCAACTCATCAGTACTTCTCTCAATAGATTACTTTCACCGGGGACAGCGATTTTTTACCTTACAATTAGCCTATGTCTACGCCAAA